TCAGTATTTCTTTCTATAATATTTTGCCTGCATCGTCAACATCTCAGAGGGACATGTGGGTGTGTGATGTTAGCAGCAGCTAAAGCATCCTCTAGCGTTGATGAGCAGCGAGCTATGGAGGTCTGGTAAGTTCCCGTCTTTCTAACTCCACACCCTCGTATTTCTTTTTATTTTCAAACCATCTTCAGCTCTAACCGACTCTGACTCCAGTGACATTGCTCATGGCGGTGTATCAGACGCTGCTCAGCTCCCTCCGGTGCTACAAGTACATTTCTTTCCACATTTGCCCCGAGACCTGTAAACCGACTTTGATGTGGAGTGTATGTGGGGTTCCCCTTTAACTGCTTTAATTGGATTATAACTACTTTGTACTATTGAGGTGCTTATGAGGACTAAATTAAAGATTTAAATATGGAGCTAACGAGTACAGTTAATTGAATTAAATACACATGTAAACACAATCAGGCGGTTTGTGGGTAATATAGAGCTGCGGTTGTTCCCTCCTGTGTTCTGCTTCCATTATAATTAAAACACTGTGAAAATCAGCGCCGTCCTCAATCAGGCCCGGCGCTGGAAGCTTGAGAAAGGTCAAAACTGTGTAATCTTGAAGCAGAAGTAATTAGGCCCAGCACAAGATGTTTCTCTTTTCTTGGACACCAGCTTGTCCCTCTGCTTGGGACTCTTTTCAAGGCGGCGATCTGGCATTTTGTATTCTGGCAGGAGCCTTGGAGGCTTCCCAGATCCGCAATACTGAAAGCGAGTACGAGTACACAGAGGCCCCATCGGAAGCAACCGTGTCCCACGATGAGCCTGACATAGTCGCCTTTTTAGATCTACAAGTGGGGTGGTGTGTTACATAACGTCTCATCCTCACCAGACGAACACAAACATCACAGCGAGGCACCAGATGGTGGTACAATTATTTTCTGTCACGTTCGTTTGAGATCACAAAATACATTTTGCAAAGAATGCGTATGCTGTAAGTGAACTTTATTCTCTGAATTAATGATGTTGTAAGAAGGAGCATATGTAAGCAATGCGCTGTGACACCAGGCGAGTCCTTCTATTATTTTGTTTGTGTTGAGCAGACAGGGCTTTGTGTCACGTACAAACAAATGTGCGCGAGCATCGCCTGCAGGCACAAGTCTTAGCATGAGGCTCGGCCGTGCTTCACTAAATGCCAGAACAACATGGTGAGGATGTGTTGAAGTGCAGCAGCGGCAGCGATCGGCTCCAGTGTTGTGACTATGTGGGCCAGAGGGGCGCATGTCGTGCCAGCTTGGTGGCCTCTTTAAAATGAACCTGAGAGTTTTTGTATGGTGGGAAAGTTTGTCGATGAGGGGGAGAGGATTTAGTAGGTCGAGAGCCAAAGCTTGGCCTCTTTGTGTTCAGCTGTTAGACGGGCTGGCACATTGAATTCAGCACTGGTGTTAACTGTGTCTGCCTCTCTTCTGTCTCATTCGCCTTTGTTGGGAGGGTCGAGCATCATCTTTACATTTTGACAGAGAAGTGGCTCCTCAGTGAGGAGGACAAAAATCTGCAAGGAGTCATGATTTTGTTTTTGGGGGAAACAAACTGGAAGCTACACCGATGCTGTCAGAGCAACAGTGGGTCCCTGTTACTGTGTATTTACACAGTGGTGTCTAAGCTGGCTCTTCTTCTGTCTTGAGGACAGCAGAGTGCCTCCGTCACCTTCAGGTTTCTGCAAACAGTACAGCACTAATGATTAGTGAGTTTCACAATCAGTGGTTCTGCTAATGATTAATGCGTTTCACCGTCAGTGGTACGAGGATGACAAAAGCATTTCAACATGTGTAGCTGATGCTCAGACTAAGAGATCTGGACCAACGCCTTCAACATGATAAAAATAGAGAAACAGGAAAACAGAGTCAGTCTTGACCCAGAGCTGCTGTTAGTTTGTGTCTGAGGTTACTCTGGCAAAGTTCATCTGGATCTCAGTGACACTTGCAGAACAAGTAAACCTATGTAACCTTCTTCTTCTTCTTGTTTTTGTTCTTCTTCTCCTCCTCCTTTCCCTATTTGAAGCCACTCATTTAATATTCTACCGCCGACTAGACTCCCAGGTTTTCAGACACAGCCCCCTCCAGCTGCCTTAACTTTGGGCTGACAGTGTTTTTGGATGCCCGGCGTCTAGTGACAGGAGCAGCCTTCGGTTAGTCTGCAGTAATCTCCTTAGCCTGGCATGTCACTCCGCTGACCTCGGGCCCTGAGTCCTGTTGCCGTGTGGAGGGCTTTACCTCCTGCTGATTTGCATCCTTTCCCCCGTAAACGCTCCTGTGATCAGATCTGTAAGGCACAAACACGTCCTGCACCAGGCTGATGCAAACACATCTGTTAAACATTCACCCAGAACATAATTGCTCGCTTGCACATATTTCT